TCCCATTGACTATGAAAATTTTATTAAAAATTTGATAATTAATTGTTTATTGATATAAAGCTGTGTTATAAAAAATCAAGTTTTATTCAAAACAAGAAGTAAATAATTTAAGAAACAAGAAACAGGTTGAATATATTTGAATGAAGTGATTTAAGAATTAAGTTAAGCAGCTTTATACCAACTATCCAGAAAATTTCACCAAAACAACAAGTGCAACCGCCGTATTAATTAAAATCGAAAATTTATTTGTACAATCAGATCCTGTGATTTTGTTTCTCAAACTCGTTTATATTTGTAAAGCCAAAAATAATAATAATGTAAAAAATAATAAAACATAAATCTAATAAATCGCTTTTTTTCAAAACGTTTGTTCATATTTAGTCTAATTGCATTTTTAAGTTATTAGGTGTTTTCTCAATCTTTCCAACATGCCTTTGTGGTGTAACGATAGCACACTCGACGCGTACTTGAGAGGCCCAATTTCGGGTCTCGGCGAGGGCACTCCTCATTTTTCACGTCTCTTGCTTCTAAACAAACCGAATGACTCTACAGTAGCACTCGAACTAAAAGGTGGTAAACAATAATTCGTCACCACCAGGATTTGGGAACTGAGTTCCCTAAAATACCTTATATACCCCCCCATAAAAGGTGTTTTATTTTATACCTCTTTCCAACATGCCTTCGTGGTGCAACGGTGGCACCACGGTGGCGAGAGGTCCAGATTCGAGTGCTGGCGAGACCATTGCATATTTTTCGCTTCTTTCGTCACCACCAGGATTTGGCGCTTTAATCCAGTAATCTCCAGCCACCCTTTAAAGGTGGAGTATATGAGGTGCACCAAAGAAAGAGGTCCCAGACCCAATTTTCTCCCTCTTTCCAGCATGACTTCGTGGTATAATGGTAGCACACTCGGCGCGTATTCGAGAGATCCAGGTTTGAGTCCCAGCGAAGGCACTGCTCATTTTTACGTCTCCTGCTTCAAAAATCCTAATGACTTTACAAAGCTATCTATGTGCATTTATTCGTACTCTGATTATGTTGTATGCCGTATATCATAGAAAATATGTAACGGAGTCGATGAAGAAAACCATTCATTTAAAAGGGATAAATACGAAAAAGGAATTGCGAATCTTTGCTCTAGTCAGAAGAGGCCACATCCGAATTGATGCTGAGAAGCTACGGGTGATAGCCACAATAAAAAGTTAGCCTGAAATTCAGCGGCCACTTAAGATTAAATTTAAAGAGTGATTTTGGTTATTTTAATGTGCTTATGTTTGAATGGAATCAGGAAATAGTTTTGCTAAAACAAGCGTGCGCTATCACTGCTCTCGTGCTGGTCTTTAAAGGAAAAGTTATGATATTAAATGAGAGTATGTCTCTGCACATATTTACGGAAGGAACAGGGACTGCCAAGCGATACTGATATGACATTTTACGGGATTACAACAAGGTTTTTCTGTAATGCATTTCCTTCTAAGTTTGATTTTACGTATGATATGTTTGTTCCCTAAAAGCTGGTTTTCAGGAAACAAACTAGCAAGGTTTCCGAGAAAGCAAGAACGTTAGCAGAGAAATCTCCAAATTTAAACTCAATAGAAAAATTTTTAGATACATTAAGAACAGCTATAGGGAGATGTCAAACTCTCCTTTATAATTCGAAATCTCGCTGTGACCAGCGGCTAGAGATGTTCACATTTCTCACTGAATTCAATGGATTAAATTTACATTTAAATCGTTTAAAGAGTTTTACATTAGGCACCGCTTAATGTGATCATGTTCGTTTATTCTGACAGTATTCACTGAACTATAACATTAAGCAATGAGAAAAATATCCTTCAAAGGGCTTTAATTAATCAATGGACAATGAATTAATTTAATACAAATATAACTAGAAAAATATTAATATTTACTTTTACATCATTTTAATTAGTTAAAAAGGTCACTCAGAACCAGTTGTTTGCAATTTTCATGTAAAAGTTCGTTTCTATTCATAATATGCTCTAATCCATAATGTTTCTGGAAGTTATTTGGAAAATGCAATGACCTCATTTTTAATTTTTGTAGAGCATTGTACGTAGTTCACTGACTTCATCATTACCTTCTGCAGAAAGTTTTCCGCAGTACTTGGACTTGTTTCAGAAAGCGACTAGCAGCTACATTCTATCATTGATGTTACAACTTGAGAGTTGAACATTGTCTGTATCCACCATAGAATTAAATTCCTTACAAAACAGGTTAGTCGGAGACGTTGGTTTTAGTTCTACAGCTTCCTATATTTCATTGTTTTTTAAGACTGGCAAGTTTAAAACAGTTGTTTAATGTTTCTTCTGGTAAGATGTTTTCAGCAAATGCAGGGCACCAAGAAGTCTAGCTCTCCTTTATGATTAATTTGCACTTAAACGTTACCATCTTTGTTACAAAGGACTCTTAACATTGATTTCACAGCGGTACTGTTCTTTTAAGTACTCCGATACTCCGATACTGTACTCCGATATAAAGGATGTGGAATTTACTGGCAAGGTATACAGCTTCAGTACTTTTAATTTACTTTAAGTGGTGTGTAGTTCTTAATAAGCACTATGTAGAACATCATTCTGCATTTCGTCATTCCATTTCAGATGTCATTCAATGAAAATTACTGATGTTATCGAAGTTTCTGATTCATACTTTCCGGCACGCTACCTTTTAAAGTCAGAGTTTTGATTTAAAAAAAAAAGCGTAGGCAGTCTAATTAGGCCTAGAGGAGTATACTAGAAAAATTTTGTGAAGATAGCACTTATCGTTTTAATTCTGTGGGTGTGCCCAAAGTGGCACACCGATTGAATAGAGCTTCGAAAAGAGTGCTGAAACGAGCATTGTTGTCAATGAACTGACCGATGAGATGCGGAGAAACAAAGAATACAGATTCTCAGCTGTCCTAGATTATCGGCGAGACCGGTCTGGACACACCTAGGGTTCGCCGTTTGATTTTAGGCAAGATTTCAAGGTAAAAATTTAAAACTAATATAGAATATGGAGATTAGCATACAGCCAAAAAATAACATAAAAATTTCTTTTCAAACAATTTCTTTTATACCCTAAAAAAATCTGGAAGATTTCTTTGAAAAATGAGGGTCTTAAAAAATTAACATGGCTGAAATATATGGACTGTTTTGAGCTGCTATCTACTATAAATAAAGAAGTTTCAGAGTAACCTATAGTAACCTGTAAATCCTTTTTCATTCAATTTTTTTGTGCGTACAGAAGGAAATTTTTAGGTGTGTCCAGACCGGACACACTGTGACGCAAAAGGTTAAAGCATAGGGGATTTTGGAAAAAAAAAAAAAAAAAAAAAAATTGTATTCAATAATTTTATTTTTTTTTACCACATATATTAAAATAGCATAAAATGGTCACGTGATCTTTTTTCTATTTTATATCCTATGAACTTTCAGTTTTAAATAAATATATACGTTGAGAGTTATCTTGTTGAATTACAACGGTAAATAAAATTATGAAATTGACATTTTAATTAAGAGGTTAAAACCGCAAGAGCCGCATCTTTCATAAAGGGTAAAAAAAGGGGGAGGGGCTTAGAAAGACATGGTTTCAAGATAGATCGGAAATTACGTACTTTGGGGATACTGTTTACAATAAAATTATATGTTTTATTTGCAATAATCTCAAACATATTTTATGCTTTTTCTCTAAGACTACAAACTTTATCAGGTTCGAAACGCCACCAAGTGTCAAGCTGTAGTAAGAAATAACGAAATTTATAATTACTTATATGCACAAACAAACGTTTCTTTTCGTATATATCAAAGAAAAATTTAATAAATAAAATAAAGAGTTGCCATTATTTTATTCTCAATTTTAACACATACGGAAAGTTTTCATGAATTGGTTATTTTAGCTTAAGATAAAAGTAAGTTATTTAGTGTTTAATTCAGTAAATTAGGCACTAAATAAATTGAATTATTTGAAATACGCTTGAATTATAATGTGTAACTAAGAGAAAATTCCTCTAGGAATTAACCTTTATAGAGTTCAGATAAGAAATAATTTTAATTCAAATTGAATTTTTCTTTGCATTACTAGTATATTTATTATAGTTAATGTTTGCGTATATTTTGATAAATATTTAGCAAGTGAAATTTAACATTTCGTTTAAAATTGTTTAGAAAAATATCTCATTTTGTTGAAAAAAATTCCAGTTCATCACCTGATCACAAACCGTGTACTCGACTCGCATGCAATTTTGAGTTTGACACCACTACACCCCGTCAACTTGTGCGTTTAACTGAAGCCATGTATATTTTGGAAATTTTTGTGATTTCTGCTTCATTATTAATGTGTATGTTTTTCAAAATACGCATTTTCACAAAAACAAAACAACAACCAAAAAAAAAAAAAAAAGTGAACATTTAAAATGTTATTCTTTACATCTTAAGGAAATCTTGAGGAGAAGCGGCACCTAAATTCACATCGAGGCGCTAGACTCAAGTTATTTGAATATGGCAAAACCAAAAAGGGCTATCTGCCTAAGAGGAAGGATGCCTTCGTGGAAGACTTTCTGAGGGAAACTGGTTGGTATTTATGTTACTCCTGGGAAAATCCACGGAACCCAACATTGCAGCCGCCTAGAATCGAACTTAAACTGGGTCGAAATACCAGTATTCAGCGACCGCTAGAGGGCGCCAGACCCCTCACAGATTGCACAGATTCTAATTTCATTCAACATGCACAAATCATTAATTCTAATTAATGTGAAGACAAAATAATTTCTTTAAATACAATTTGCGCGTAAGTATATTGATAACGACAGTCGTTCACTGCAGACGAATATAAAACAAGACAAAGCAATACAATAATCAATCGATTGCTTTTACGCCTCTCTCTCTATTATATCAAAATAAAAACGTAATAATTTGCATAAGAACATTATACAGAACTCATACAGATTTCTTCAATATTTTTCAGAATTTCCCAGAAAAATACTATACAAATAAATTTCTCACCTGTGTTACTAGGACCTGGACTTTCACTGAAAGATGAGACATGGAGAGGAGATGCCTTCAAAGAATCTGTAAATTTGCATATTTTTTATAAATTAATAATTTTTATTTTCTAAAAGTCATACATTTATGAGATAAAGGGAAAAAATACTGAACTCTTAAATAATTAGAAAAAAAATCAGGCATCATCTTATATATGTATCAGAAAAATTTCTAAATTCTTTCTAATTTAACAAACAGCACGGATTAGTTTTTCTTAAAATTAATTCAGTTTATCGTATTTCTCAGAGTAATGTAAGAAATGGTGAAAAAATAAGGGAAGTAAAAAACGTGATAGAAGTCGAAAATGTAGAAAGGTTAGCTTAGGTTTGCTCACTTAATTATGCAAATTTCACGAGGGCTATCTGCCTGTAAGGAGGGGTATCTTCGTGGAGGCCTTTCTGAGGGAAACTGGCTCGTATTCTCCTTACGCATGGGGAAAATAGCCAAAACTAACCATGCAGCTAAACCATTTGTCTGGAATAAAACCCAAATCAGGTCGAATTACTAGTAATCAGCAGTCTTAACCACTCGTTCACTGGCGGGGCGCTAAAAGAGAGAAAGAGTCTTCATCAGAGACGTGATGGTTCTTTCCTCTTCCTTATAACTACCTAAAACCTTAAAAAATAAATTCTTTCGAGAAACTAACATTCAGGAATGATTTTAATTGTTCATAATAAAAAAAGTAGAACATTTAAAGATTATCATTGGAAAAATATTACTGAAATGATTTTTTTACTTTTCGAGCCTGTTTTTAGGTATAAATAACGTTAAATTGCTACAATAATCATAAATAGTTATGCTTTGTTTAATATTCTTTAACATTAAACACTGAGTCGTCTCAGACGTGTATACATATTTTAATTCCGTAGTTTGGGGGGGATCTAGTTAATGAAAACTTTTGATATCCCACATTTCCTCACTTTTCTGCAATCGAAACGTACCACTGTAGCAGAGCGGTATTGCCGTTATTACTGGAGAGTTCGAATCCGGTTGGAATCGTGGCGAACGGGCTAGTTGCATGACCGTTTTCGCGGTTTCTGATGTGTAAAAAGCATAAGGTTAGTTTCCCTTAGAGACATCTCCACGAAGGCATACCTTTCCTTAGGCAGATATCTTTAGTGTTCTTTGCCATAATTCAATAAACCAAACCAAACTGTAATGGAAACAGGTAAAACGACGAAAAAAAAAAAAGGACTGATTCAGAGAAGGATTATCCATCATGTGCGTTTGAGGAATGGGAAAGGGAAATAACAATAATGATAATAAGTTGCGTTTGTAAGGTATTCTCCCGCCTTCCTAGCGTGCCTTCGTGGTATAGTTTTGTCAGCACACTGAGCCGGTATTCCAGTGGTCCATGGTTCGATTCCCGGCGAAGGCGTTGCTAATTTTTCATTCCTTCGGCCTCAAAATAACGTAATGTCTCTACAGTGGCCTCCCGAACTAAAAGGGTTGTGGACGATGACTCTCCACCTCCCAGGATTTGGCGATTAGGTCCCCTAAAAACCACAATCGCCCTTTAAAAGGGGGAGTATGTAAGTTATTCTCCCGCCTTCCTAGCGTGCCTTCGTGGTGTAGTGATCAGCACACTGAGCTGGTATTCCAGAGGTTAGGATTCGAATCCCGGCGAAGGCTTTGCTAATTTTTAATCTATCCGGCTTTTCCAATTAACCTAATGTCTCTACAGTGGTGCCCGAACTGAAAGTTTCGCGGATGATGAATCTCCACACCCAAGATTTGGCGATTGGTTACCCTAAAACGCCAGTCGCCCTTTAAAAAGGGTATTATATAAGGTATTTCTCCTGCTTTCCTAACGTGCCTTCGTGGTGTAGCGGTCAGCACACTGAGCCGGTATTTCAGAGGTTTGTGGTTCGATTCCCGGCGAAGGTGGTTGCTAATTTTTCATCTTTCTGGCTTCCAAAAAATCCTAATGTCTCTATACTTTAAAGAATGAAATTAAATTTATTGGATAACTGCAAGTGTAAAGGTTCTGTTTATCAACGCCAGACAATAATTTTAGTATTTTTATTAAATCGCATGAAAAGAATTCCTATGGCAACGCTTCGAGGACTTTGACATATATATAGCGTATTTACTCTCTACTTCCACTAATAATTCGGTACAACGAAATCGTCCTGCTTGCCAAAATTAAAAATAAAACTTCCCAAAGGAATGCTAGCCGGAAAATATGCCTTTTATATGCACTGCATATTCGCTTAGGATATAACAACAATGGGAAAAAAAAAAAAAAAAAAAAAAAAAAAAAAAAACGTTCGTTCAAACGAAAAAGGGTTTGCCGTAAAACAAACATTCACCAGAAGCATCACAGGCAACACGTAAAGGTATGGGAGACATCAGCCATGTATCATGGGTTAACTAGCAATGCCTTCCCATACTAATTGTCCCTTAAAAAATTGCAAGCTTCGTAAGAGTACACAAAGAGCAGGTTGAGGAGATCATCATCTGAAGCTTTCCAAATGATTTAAGGTTTACTTATTGTGGTACATTGTGTTCCAACAGTATACCTCGCATCCAATATTTATTAAAAGTAGTGATTTAGGAAAAAAAGAGATTACAGTAAAATTTCAATATAATTTGAAATTCAAAATTTAAACTGAAAACATTCGTTTTCATGTAATAAAAATAACAGATAAAACATAATGAAATATAACATGTACTGAGAACATAACGTTATAATGAACTGTGCTAATAATACTCAATAAGAGTCCACGGGATCAAATCATTTGAGAATAACATCAAAATTCCTGACGAGTAAAAATCTGAGAGCTCGGAACTTGAGGATGCAAAAATTGGGAATACAGAAATTAATTTTGCTAAGAAATCAACAAAATTTTAAGAAAAGTACTTAAAATGGTATGCTGGAGCAGATTGTTACAGTTTATGAAGTTCACAAGTTGAATCGTTTTGAACATATTTACAGGATGTAAAAGTTCCTTTAATTTATGCACCATGAGGAACTTACACTTGGCAAAGATCTAGCCTGTAGGAAGTCATAATATTTTGAAACTCAGAATACTGATATTTATCTTTAATTAGAAACCTTTGGAATGCCAGGAGAGAAGTTTGTGGGGATTTTATGTGATTATTCTCAGTTAAAGAGCATGAGCAAGTGTAATGATCAGGAGTTCCCTGTTCTCCACAAACACATATGTCTGATTTCGCCATATTTCTTCCGTAGATACATGAGAGGAAGGGTCCGTGTCCTGTCATTAATTTCATGAAGGGTTTCGAGTACACAGATGTGAAGCTTACATCGGGGATAAGTTATATATGCGTCTTCCCTGTGAAGCATTATTCCACAAGTTTTGCCTATATTTCGAAGCAAGTTGTTGTAGTTAATTTTGAAATTTGAACGAGGCCATTTAAGGATGATTTTCATACCATCTTGAGCAAGAGCTGCTTCTGTGGCTAATCTATCTGCCTGATCATTATCAAAATGGCCACTATGTCCTTTGATCCCTGAAATGTGAATTTTGTAGTCAGAATTAAAGTAAGAAGAGTATTTATGTCGGAAACTCTTGAAGAGAAAGGTAAGAGATTCTTATTCGCTAAAACAGCTGCCTGGGAGTCTGGTTTTATTGTAAATTCTTTGAGATTTTTTAGAACAGCTATTTCAGTCGCAGCTTTTATAGCTGACAATTCAGGCTGGAAAACGCTATTATTATTATGGAGATGACCTTTTCATTTGATGGTATCTGAAGGGGCAATTTGAAAATATATTGCTGAACCTACTTTACTTTCAATTTTCGATCCATCAGTATATACAGTTGGAGATGAACTAATTGAATTTTCGTCAGACAAGGGGGGTCTATTTTGCGGAAACGTAGGACTGGATGAATAAGATTGGGATTATTTTTCTGTTCACAGTTAGTTCACAAAAAGATTTGGTTGTTGAATTCTGCTGTTTGGTTAACTTGAATGATTTTCATGTAGGTGCTTTCCATTTCTGCACCGCTTGATAATGAGAGAATACTAGCTAAAGTATCTAGAGCTATGCTTGCAGTTGTGCAATACGCTTGAGTAATGCAAAGAGTAAAAGGGATTTGATTTGAATTTAAACACAGAGTACGCAAGCTTTTATTTTAATTATTTTTTTCTATACGTTTCCAAGTCATCCTGTAATTTAATATCGGCCTGGCGCTTCTTCAGCAAAATGCTGAAACAATACCTCACTTAAATGACGCAAAAGACAATTACAATTCTTGTTAACCAGGTTGATAGTTTTTTTCAACGCCACTATTAATTTTTAGCATTTTACCACGGCCCAAAAAATCAAAATAATCTATTTCCTAAACATTTGAGTTTTTGAACACTCTGTTTTTTATTATTTTATATCCAAAATATCTTATGGAATTACTCTGGTTGACATAAAAGAAAGATTTGCATAAAGAATATTAAATTTCGAATTAATAAATAATTTAATATTTCTACGTTTATAAGGTATTTCTCCCACTTTCCTAGCTTGCCTTCGTGGTGTAGTGGTTCTGCACGCTGGCCCTGTATTCCAGAGGTCCGTGGTTCGATTCCCGGCGAAGGCGGTTGCTAGTTTATAATTTTGCCTGCTTTCAAAAATACCTAATGTCTCTACAGTGGCGCCCGAACTAAAAGGGTGTTGAATGAGGTTTCTTCACACCCAGGATTTGGCGATTGGGTTCCCTAAAAACTCCAGTCGCCCTTTAAAAAGGGGAGTATATAAGGTATTTCTCCTACTTTCCTAGTGTGCCTTCGTGGTGTAGTGGTTCTGCACGCTGGGCCGGTATTCCAGAGATCCGTGGTTCGATTCCCGGCGAAGGCGGTTGCTAATTTTTCATCTTGCCTGCTTTCAAAAATACCTAATGTCTCTACACGTTTTTCTATGTTTTCTCTTTTTTTTTAAAGGAATGGAAATTCCACATAATGGATTTCCGGTGGAATAGGTTGGCAGCATGAATGATTCACAAGTTTAAATATAACACGCGTACAAGCATGTTACAAAATTATTTATACGCCTAATTACCTTTTCAGATACAAACTTCCGAGTTAAGAAATAAACAAAATCTTTCGAACAAAGATAGTTTGGGTCATATAACATGTTTAGTAAGCATATAAATGTATGTATGCCTACTAATAAATAAAGGTAAAATATACATTTCTTATACATATCTGTCAAAAAAATACCCTTATGCGATAAAACCAGAGACAGTGATTAACATCTTTACTAATGGCAACAAAGGAAGTAATATTTTTGAATGGAAATTTCCATGTCAGACAATCATATACATAAATTACAAACTCCCATTTGCGGGTACAATTCTGAAGCTTTTATCCAACATAATTCCGTAGTTATACGCCCCCTAAAATCGATTTTATTCCTTCGTTTCTTCTTACATGGTTCAGGAAAAGTCATATAATTTTAACAGTCGTTTGGGGAACGATCACTGCATAACTTTAAAGCAGCTAAAAATGTACTTAGTAAAACATGAAATAAATTTCCGGTCGCGGTTTTCTCTGAACCGAGCAACCAAAATGATTATAAACTTAGCATAAAGTTTTAAAAAGATACGGCATATACTTTTCGTATATTTATAATAAATTTGTTTTTAGTTCTATATGCAGTGAGTAACACGCAACATAAACAAATTACAAACCGGTCAGTTACCAGTCCTTACATAGAGTCGACATATGAGCGTAGCGTACCGTCGGTCAACCCTGTGGTGACCGAAGTGTGAAAACTGCACTAATGAACTACAATGTCAATAACTCTTTCGATAAATAAACAATCATTTGTTTTGAAAAACTTCCATCAACTTCTGACTCACCTGCATCTTTAAATAATTGATCAATCAACTATGTACACCTCCTACTGAATAGCGAACTCATCAACTTCATTGCGAAACAAAAAAACCCTTGCTACTCAGAAACGCCTTGGCAGCGAGTAAATAGGGAAATCGAAAAAACAACTATCAAATCTAATTTCTCTCACCAAATCTCGAACAGGCTACCGAAAATCCTTCATGCTGAATCAACGCCACTTCAGTCTTCCCTAGATAGTTCGAAAAAGACATCCATCTTCGCTAAAGGTGTTCTTCAATATAGATACATTTAATTCTCACTTCCGGCACGGTTTGTGATTGTGTGATAACAGTGTGATTGTGTGAATAGCCAACATACTCAGTGGTTTGTGTGTGCTTAACCGTATGCTTTATATTCAGTTGTGAGTCTGCAAATGTTTTCTACAAGTGTCCACTATTTCAACAGTTAAACAACAGCGAGCAATAGATCATCCTCGCCCAGCGGACTGCCACATATATTTTTGCACCATAAACACTAAGCACAAGAAGGACAGTTAATATTTCTATAAGTCTAGAAACTAAACACAAGACAGGTAGCTTTATGAAACCGGATGCATGTGATAAAGGACAGTTTGATTCCTATATTTTCTCTTCCGGATACCTGCTTTAGCTGAGTCACGATATTTCTCAATTTTTCTTTCCATTAAGTTTTCAACGCACTTTGAGTTAGCGATATAAGTTTGTATAAGAAGCTACAATCTCTTTTATTGTTCGAAATCTGAAAGATCATTAACCATTCTTTCACGGGTTATCATCTAGTCTATTTTATTCACGAACGTGCATATCAAGTATCGTACATTACATGCTTATTTATATGTGCTAATCTCACAAAGGCGGGAAAAATAATGTTTATTCATTATTAATTCATAATCCAAATTTGCTCTTTCCTGTGATTTTCGGCGTTGTCCTTTCTAGCCATCTGTGCTAGATTTTTAAAGTGCAAAACTTTATCTCATGGAGCTGAATAATGAAAATCACTATATGCCTCTTGAATTAGGAATGTTTTGACAACAAAAACGGTTCTTATTTGTTGTTTTATTCTATATTTTATTAATTTAAGTATAAGGTTACACGCAGAAAAAGTATACTAAAATTACTCAAATTTCGATCAAACTTTTAACGCGTAAAATCTAGCACTTAAAATCTGCCGAATATATAGTGTTTCGAAGTTTCTGAACTGATCATAATCAGCCCAAGTCACTGAGAAAATCTGTTTCAAAAAACGATTACCTCTCAAATATTATACAATTAATGAGCTTCGCACTGTACTTCAAAACAACTGTAACTGAAGGACGAAAAGTCATACGTCTTCATTTCTTAACACATTTTTCTTCAAAATATTTGGGAGCACAAAGTGTAAGAATTTTGCGATCTCGTAAAACATTACTTCCTTTTCCTTAGCTCATGGATACAAACAACACGGCAATTCAGCTTCTCCTCAAATGGATATCAAAGTTTTGGGTTAGTAAAGTTCTCAAGCGTAATGACTAGGATTAGTCTAAAAATTACAAATACTGTGGTTCGTAAATGTGCAGGAACTTTATATTATACTGTTTGTTAAAATTTAATTTCAGTACAAGGAATCAGAAATATTATTAATGGTTATTGCTGCCATGGGGGTTACTATTTATTGTCTTGCGTTAAAAATCAAAATCAGCAAATTCACCTTAAGCTACTACTGCAGAGTTCGCATCTGATGACATACTTATACGTAATTTTTTATGAATCACGGAAGGATATCTTCCAAAATCATCCTTTTAAATCCGAATTATTCCGATACACGTAAAGAATCTTGGAGGGGGATGGAATAAAACTCTTAATGGGAATGTTTTCGTGTCATGGAGAAACGCTATCAACTAAAATATATTTTAAGAAAAATATTATTAATTTAAAAGTCTTTTAGGAGACCTGATATCCAACAATATAACTGTCACTTGTAATAAAATTTATTACGAAACAAATTAAAAAAATAATCATATGTTGGTGTCTCTACTAACTGCATCCTTCAGGCTTCGCTTTTGTCCAAGGCAAGAAAAAGAGCACAGAGCAGTTTTAAAGATTTTCTCTAATAGTGAATAATTACGTATGTTAAAAACCTGACAAAAAAGTTTTAGTTAATGAAAAGAATCTAGAAATAGGCCATGTCGCAGTATGTGATGACATGATATTTTATGTAATATCCTTTATCGTTCGAGTTGTGTTGTTGTTGCCCAGCTTTCTTCCACATGAAGATGCAATTTAAAATGTAGGTCCAAACTTAGGTGTTCAGTAATGAAACCTCAGAGAAACGCAGCACTCGATACATCCCATAAAACAAAAAATGATTTGTGGAAAGTACTTTCGCAAGTTCGATATCTATTTCTGTAAAACTGGGATGATAAAACTAGTTTCTATATTTGTAAGAACTTACATTTTGTTGGCAACCATTTCCATCAAGAATACCATTAAATCGAAATCTCGAACAGGCTAACTGATGTGTTGTGATAACTTAAAAATATATTTAAGGCCAGCTAACTGTTAGCAACTTTCTTGATTCTCGATCAGTTTTAGTTTAAAATTGAAGACCTAGTGCATGTAAATCTTTAAAACACACGTTGCCAATTTAGAGCACCGGTTCCTATTTTCTAGGAAATCATCTCTTTAGTGTTGATGGGAGTAAATTTAAATTTGTTGGAGAAATAAAATCGGAAAAATAAAAATTTAAGGAATTCAATGATAATCTCATTCAAGGCAGCAGTTTAATTATATTTACTTTATAGCGTTTCAAAACGTGTGAGTTAAGCCTCGATGTACTGCTCTTTTCATTTATTTAAAATGATCTCTCTGTGTGTATCGATGAAATGCCATGATTTTAGTAGAGAAGGCATACATCGGGTTCTCTGAATTAAACAGTACATGAAGTCAGAAGAACCAAAATATTATTTAGTACCTGTTTCACTACACCTGGATCTTCCTGGAAATGGATAAGATGTGATGGGATATGGAGTTGCCCTTACTGTAACAAGAAGAAAAAAATGACAACAGCTATCTAATTCAGGCACACATAATGAATACACAGAATATATTATAACAAAACACTTTAATCTCTAATTTATGATATGGTAACTACAAAATCCTTACGTGCATTAAGGATTAACAGAGCTTGTATTAATATAAATTTCTTTAATAAAACTAAATAGATACACTTGTTCCAGAAAGAATTAGGCACCTCATGGCAAAGCATTACAGCTGCTACTTGAAATATGCGGGAGGGGCCAGCATGTCGGACAGTTGTAAAATCCGGATTAATTTCTGCTTTTTCAAAAACGCTAATATCTTGTCGTGTACCAAAAGGCCTTACCGACAGCATTTTGTTTCCCCAATGGCAGGCACTTGCCTAAACGGCATTGGCCACAACTAAGGCTAGAAGTGGGGGCCATTTTATTGTGGAGGAAACTAATAGGCGGCCACCACTACCTCCTATGGAGGAACGGACAATTTTACATTCATGCCTTCTCCGGGATTCAAACTCGGGCCCTTCGTTATCGCAGTCAGGTTCCGCTAACCACCATACCATCTGGGCAGCTCACTAACAGCATAAATAATAGATGAAGGATACTTTGCATGACATGTGTATTAGATGTTATGCTTATATATTATTATTAACAAAACTGATAGATAAATGTTTCATTCGTAACGTTTGGTTTTATTAAATTATGGCAAAACCATCAAAAGGCATCAGTCTAAGACAGAGATGACTTTATGGAGCACTTTGTTAAAGATCACGTACGTATCCGATCACGAGATCGTATACACGTTTTTACGCTTGTGAAAAATCATAAAGATGCCCATGCAGCCAGCCTGTTCTCAGGTATTCGAACCTCGGCCCGAACTACCAGTATTCAGCGACTTAATCGATAGACCGCCGGTGGGCCCTGTCTCATTCGTAAGCTTAGTGTTTGTCAGTATTAAAAAACTGCGTTCTTAGATTTCCAACTGAGTGAGATTCGGTGAGCATTTAAATATACTCTCATAAAAACTAAAACTGAAGAATAATAAATTACAAACATGCAGTGGCTTATGCAGTAATGATAAGGTAAATTTTTACTTAAAAGTACAAAGATTAATGCGATGATAACAAAGCGTGGCAATTTGATTGCTTAGTAACAGCAAGTTAAGAGCAATGTATTACTATCGTTTTGTGACAGCATTCATGAATCATTTCTACCGCTCACCACAACAAAAGGATTATTATTACTAACAACAATAACAGCATTACAGTCACCTTAAAATTTTTATGACACTCAGTATTTACATTCATATATTCATAAGTGACTTCTACATACACTACTGAAATAAAAAAGTCATCAACGCATTTTAAAGTAATTTAAATTTTGCTCTGTGACTTTTTTTTGGGAAACTATTCCAGCATGCATACATGAACTTCCTTTGGAACATACTAATGTGATATTTAAGATTTACTCGAAAAAAAAAAGGAAAGCTTACATTTCATTGCAATACTCGGTCTAAGGAAATGAAGAATCATTCAGGAGGGATTATGATGAGCGTCGTACAAAGACTTAAGCAGATAATCAGAGCATTAGAAGAACAGGACACGGCTGCATTATTCCATTAGCACAGTAATGATTTTACACCGATACGATATCTTTTTTCACTTAAATTTTTCTCACTGTGAGGGAAGCTATATGAAGCCTGTATTTGGTTTTGTGCTTATATCTTTGCAAATTCTATTTTTTCATAACAGATATTTTTTTGGAAGTTAAAACACCCTATCTACATAGATTCCATGTATTCCTAATATACGTATTTATTAGTTTCTTAAAAAGTTTTTGATACTAGTAAGTTATGTTGCTGTCTTTCTTTTGTGTGTGTGTTGTGTATGTGTGTAAATATCTAAAGCATTTCCCCATATGTTTACTAAAAACAAATCTGTAAAAAGCGGCCCATAGAATTCATATTTGAAAGGTGAACTGTACTAATAATTTATAATTTATGTTTCTTAATCAGGTAAAAAGTCCGAAACGTTAAAGTCCTTAATTATTTTTAAAAAGTGTCGGTTTACTTTCGAAAGTTTCATTTCAAAAGTGTCTTTTGTTAGCTTTCTTTTTCAAAAAGGAAAAGATAAGCATCGAATGACATGTTATGCCTCTCTGGTTGGGCAAATTAAGTTGGAAGTTTTACGGTAAGTGGCCTCCAGTTGACTGTGCAAACAACTAGAGGAGAGACGGTTTATGGCACTTAACGTATAATGCCGTCGACCGTGAAACTGTTGCCAAGCAGCGAAATTACAGGTTAGCGTGACGTAACAATACACTTATAACAACTGCGGTTTTGGTATTTGATTACGGCAAAGCATATATACTAGGGCTATCTGCCTAAGGGAATGAATGCCTTTGTAGAGAATTTTCTAAGAGATACTGGCTCGAATACTGTGTATTCGAGTGTACTGTGTATTCGAATACTGTGTATATTACAGAGGGGTCAAACCACGAAAACGCCCATGTTGTCAATCCGTTTGTCTGGAATAAAAAATGAGGTTGGAACTACATTTTCCTTTCCTTTCCACCGACAACGAGGCAGCCGACCCACTGGGGCAGCTAGCATATCAGCCAGATAGCCCCGCTAACGGAAATAACTTGGTCAAGATAACACACTTTGGTACATATTGTGCTCAAGACGAGTGCTTGGGGCAGTGCAAACAAATGCTGGACGAGACGATAGTGCAGTGATGGAAGAAGGATGCATTGCGGGTGAGGAGAACCATTTCCAGTTACATATTTACAGAGTTATGGATAGATGGTTACAAAAGGCATCCACAACGTGAACAGTAAATGAGTACAGTGCAATACATGAACAATTAACAGAGTGACTGATAAAGCAGTGAAAATAATATCTAAAATAGGGCTAAATATTAAATAGCAATACTAAAAATAATAAAAAGTAAAGTACTAAAAAGCGAAATAATACATAAAATAAAAGGCAAAAAAGTGAAAACAATACATAAAATAAGACAAAATACATAATTCAAGGAATTCACAATTCAGGGTTTACAGTTCAAGGAGATAAGTATAAACAGGAGGAAAAAGCAGGAAAAACTAATTTAAGATAAAATAAATTCATTACAGGTACATAGCATACGGGGGCTGTGCCGGTGACGAGGATGGCAGATAAGAATTATTCCAGCCTGTCTAAGATTTTTCGTGCAATATTTATTCAATCGCACATGCGTTTCAATGAATAGCGATTTTTCGAAGTAGCTTCGGTTCATGTATGAATGTGGTCTGCTACTGGTTGCCTAAGATGATGTTAGACAGTCTCTCTGCAAGCGAACAGATAGTGGTTCAGATCTCCTGCCATCCCGCATGAGCAATGGTCGTTTTCGCGTCATCTGAAGCGATGTAGGTAAGTAATGAACGGACTATGCCCTTTTGTCTCTGTCTCCCACAGATATTGCCAACGTTTGAGTAATTCTCTCTCGAGCTCAGCTTTTAAGAACGAGTCTGGGAGAGGCACATCAAGTGCGCGAACGTGGGGGTCAGTTGCTGCTTTTTTGGCTATTGCATCTGCAATTTCATTACCCAGTATTCCGGTGTAAACAGGTACCCACTGGAGTTCAGGCCTATAGCATTTTGGTGTTCTTATTAAGAGTTTTTGTATGGTCCTGACGAGTGGATTTTTACTGCATGTGCCTTGGATTGCATGAAGGCTAGAGGCTGGGTCTGAATAAATACTGGAATAGTTATTTTCCAGTGCATAGACAGTTGCAGTTTTTAATGTAAGCAGTTCAGCCGGAAAAACTGAGTTGTGGTGTTTAAGCTTTCTTTTCCGGGTCTTTGAGATCTGGTTCCCATGTAGAACACAATATCCGCTACCGGTGCCACGTTCTCCTTTGGAACCATCGGTGTAGATTGCAGTAGCTTTGAACCACGTTGGTGGCCTGCAGTTAATCGAGATAAGTGACGATCACTTAGGTAGCTGTAAATAATTTCAAAGAGGATCTTAGGGCAACCCATGTCCTGTAATCACTTGAGTACGTCGGGCCACCACAACGAGTCGAAGGCGCCCTGTATGTCCCCAGAGATAATGAGACTATGCTGGTTATTTCTTCTGTTATTTGCTATTATTTTTCGTAGGAGCTGCAGCGCGTGATCCACCTATCTGCCAGAAATGTCACGCTGTCGCAAGTTCCGCCCAGACTGGCAAATGACTTAATCTACCAGAGGCGTGCCTTCGTCAGTGGACTAGAGGGTTTAAACTAGTCTCCCAAAATTTTATGCATTAATACTTTCAAGTATATTTTACCTAAGACTCAAGGGCATTAACAATAACGCAAAGCGAAAGGTAACCGTCTTGTGGGTATCGATGCAAGAGCATCGCTCGTTGATGTGGCTGACTGCGCTGCTTTGAGGCCCTTTCGAGCAGACCTCTCTAGATTGGACTTTTGTTACATTTTAGAGTTAACGCATTTTTGTTGCACGCATTAGAGAGCATCTGCCTTTCGTGATGTGATTGGAGGTGCGTGTTCTTGCCACACTCCTGGTCCAGTAAAAGACACGGATTTCTGTGCTTTTCAGCCTAAAGTATGCTTTTGGATCAACGGTATTAAGTATAACTTGTCAGAAAAAAGTTCGGGTTCACATAATAGCAGAGTAACAATGAACATCGATCTTCGCTGACTAAGCCATCTGCCGACAAATACTACCATTTAGAAGTTCAAGTAACGGTCTCCAACAGCAGTTGTTTCTAACCACCAAACAAAGATGTCGCCACAAGACACATAAAATCATATGGCAATAATACCTGCTTTATATTTCACGGAAACCAGTGTATGATTGCCATATTTGGCATGTTTACAGAAATAACTTGAGGTTTAGATTCTAGAAGAGTATATTTTTAAAAAGGTATGTAAAGATTACAGGCTTCTTAAAAGGGAGAAACATGAAAAATTAACTGTGCCTTCGTTGGTAATCGAACAATGGATCTATATTTATAACTGGATTTGCTAACTATTATACCACAGAAACATTTTGGAGGGATGCATTTAATTCTTTACGGATTGTTCACATATGTAGCGAAAATAAAAGGCAACTTCCTCTAGAAAATGTTCCACTAAAGCATTCCTTCCCTTAGACAGACAGCCTGGTGTGGCTTGCCGTATTCATATAAATAAATGAATTTCATGATAAATGCCTCAAAGTTAATAAAATCAAATACTTAAATTTTTGACTCTAATTACTTGATTGAGTGATTTGAATGCAGGAATGAAAACTTTTAAATAAATGCGTTTAACATTTTCATTTGTCATTAAAGTGGCAAAATCTGCCTCTTTTTTGTCAAAATTTCGGCAGACATCGAAGCTGCTTTTTATCCTAGTATCGGCATTAAACAAAATTTCTTTAGCATCCAGAATGATTCACAACAACGAGGCCGATATGCTAAAACCTGAACTGACCAGTCGCCTCATCGTCATGGGTTGTTGAATGTGATTAAAAAGCGATTTAAGATTCTTTCAACCATTTTAAACATTGCTCTAGTTCCAGGCATGGAACTAAATCACAGAATCTATCGTGCAAGGCAATGATACTTTTTCCTATTGACAGGAGACTTTGCATATCTTACATTAATACTCTCGCTTCCATATTTAATAATTACCGTGAAAAAGTAGAAAAAAGGAATTTTATCATTTTTAAAATCTGATGATGTGAGTCTCGATAAACCTTACTAATAAAATATATTAATTACTAAAATATTTCTCAAAATAAACAACAGTTTAATTTTCTATTGAACATTTCCGTTATATGTCATGAACGCCATACCTGAAGGGTGTTTCTCAATGTTACATATTTTTTTCTCAGTTTTAAAAATACTTCGGCGTTTGAAACAAACTTACAGCCGAAATAAGCAGGATTTTTCTATAAACCGGCCACAGTTAATCTACAGAGCTTCATATTCAAAGTATATGTTTGGTTTCAATATCAATTAAGAACATTTAGCATCCTAAAACTGAAGGAAACAGTAGTCTCATTTTACGGGTTGAAGAAAATTATCTTTTAACGCTAGAAGGGTTTTACTTCAAACTTAAAAAACAATATTTCGGCACTTGAAACAAAATTTTGGATAACATAAAAAAGAAAACAATCCCTGTTGACTGATTAATAATCACTCCCGTAATGGGGGAGAAAATAGTGTCGTTTTCCTCAATCGCACTGAGTGATTGCTGAACGTGATGAATTAGCAATAAGCAGGATTTTCCTGTAAACCGGCCCCAGTTAGTCTATGGAGGTTCATATTCGAAGTATTTATTTATTTATTTATTTATTTATTTTTGGTTTCAATATCAATTAAGACTATTGCAATTCTAATTTTTCATTAAACTGAAGGAAAAAGCAATCTCATTTAATGAGCTAAAGACAATTATCTTTTAATGCAAGAATGGTTTTACTTCAAACTTAAATACTCTAACTTCATTAACATGCTTCACAACAACCAAACCAAGGCATTTTTTAAAGCAAGAAAATGCTCAAGAAGGCAAAGATATCAAAGAAACGGTATTCATATTTTGTTTTAATATACAAATCTATCAAAAGTACATGTCTCGGACAAAAATAACTCCAAAACTGGGTACTGTTGCGGTGTTAAAAGACACCGCATGGAGCTTTTTTTACGTATGATTTAGATTCTAAGAACATGACAAAGGAACGAAACTGCATGATTCTTTACGATTCCTCAGCAAAATTTTCTTTCAAACGAAATTATCATTTCATTAAAAATTACATAAAATCTTACTTCTTATAGCATGATATTCATACATCAAAGATTGCGACATACACGATCAAAATTTTGGGGTGAGAGTAAATTATCTTTAGCGCTAACATTACAGGAACCATTCAACATAAAAAGCGTTATTAGATAATACTTAACTACGTTTATGAGCCTTTAATTAATGCTGAGAAGAGAAGATTTATACGAAACTCTTCTACACTGAAGTTCATTAATATGTAAAAAATGTAAATGGTCTTGAATTACAACTTAAATTGAATAAAACGTCCAGTATCGAAATGATTGTGTTAGAAATTAGCATAGTATTTCTTACACTGCTAGGAACAGAAGATGTTTGTCACGGAGCAGGACGATAAGAGTTTCTGTATTGTTGTTCCTCATCCGCCTGATTTCGAATGATCGCGATCAGATACACGAATTCATTACAGTTAAGAGTAGTATAAAGAGTCTATCGTTGAAAAAGGGCATTGGAATCTTGTAAATATGAATTCCCAAGCGCCGATGCTTAGTCAGTTTCTTTTTTTGTTTTTTGTTTTACAGCAAAGACATTTAGGTTTACAGTAATGTCACTGCTCGCGTTATTACATTTCTTGCTTTAACTGAGTCACTACTTGTAATCATTCACGGCTATATTAAAAATGGGTGATAACTCTGCCTTTCATTGTTCTTTACTGAACGGCATGATTTTAGTCGTATGGATTTACAACCTGTTTAGCAGTGCAGACTATCCCAAAATGTAATACACTCCTTTACTTAAATTTTAGCTCTTTATAAGAATGCATTAATGGCACAATTACTGACAATCTAAAATTTTAAAAAAATTTAAGAAACCTACACTACATTTTTTTAATCCTGAAAAATCGATTTTAAATTTTCAGAACAATATAAGCACTGTGTTCCCAAGCTTAACACATCAAGCAGTAAAATGCTGAGTACTACCGTATATACCCGCGTATAAGTCGAGATATTTTGGACAAAAAAAAAAAAAAAAAAAAAAAAAGACTTCAAAGTGGGGGGTCGACTTATACGCGGGGCCATAAAAAATTAAAAGAATCGGAAGTTCAAAAATTTCTTTATATAATGCAGTTGTTTTCTTCCCGCACTCAAATTGGACGACTTATCAAATAAGTCACTTACTTGAAGTAATTTCATGACTTAAATTATGTGACAAACTAATCACAGAGTTTCATACTTTAACTAGAGTAAGTTTCGATTAAACCAAAGAATTTTCGGCCCCCGAACAACCGATCAATATAGAGCAATAAAAAAAGTTTCCCCAACACGCCAAGAAAAGAGAAATGCAGATAGTTTTTACGTACGTATAAGTCTTTATAATAGTTATTGTTCATTCATGAAATACTTTTGTTAACAGGCGTACACGTCTAGTAGTGATTGTAACAATACATAGTTCGAGACTTAAAATATGTATAATGACGAGCCAATGACGACAGAAGAGTTCTATGAAATGTTTGGCGAATCTGACCATGAATCGGACGTTGAAGGATTTTGATTTTGTTTATTTACCAAGGTATTTTTTATCGTATATTTACTTTTTTTCTCAGATGATTTTGAATAAATGTAGTACTTAAAATTTTTTTTTCTAAGTTTCTCGATCGATTTCGGAAGGGGGGGGGTCGACTTATACGCGAGTTTCTTATTTTCTACGAATTTTTGTATGTCGAAGTGGGGGGATCGACTTATACGCGGGTATATACGGTACTTAATAATCATAATACTATTATTATTATTATTATTATTTACAATGAGAGAGGAGAAAATATCGCAGAGGAAAACGTCGTGAAAGAAATAACACAAGGCGAAAACATCGTCGTACACAAAAACATCGTGGAAGAAAAGATATCAAAGAAAAAACATCGCAGTTCTAAAACATGGCGGTATAAAACATCGTCATCAAAAATAAAGCAGTTCTAAAACATCGTTGTAAAAAATAAAGTATCTATAAATTATGGCATGACGATAACATCGCAGGCATATGATTTTCAGGCTTTAAAAGTTGTTTTTGTATATTTGATGATGATTTGTAAGTGCAAGAAGAACAGGAATATTTTTACCTTGACATTTTCATGTTTTTGGAATTGTTTTTTTGCTAAAAGAGCAAGAAGGAAACTTAAGCATTCAAGAACTATAATGAGTAGAAAATTAATCTGACTTACAGCAGTTCACAGAATTTTAAACTTTTGTACTTAATTATTAAAAGTTATTATTTAATTCATCTCTTTTATTAAGCTGTACTGGCAGTTTTCCTGGAAAAATATAGTCTAAAATTTTAGAAAAAGGAAGATGAGAAACTGCAGGAGGTTATCTATATTCAAATTGTCTGAGTTATTCTCAAATTATTTTCTTTCCATCTGTTAATCTGATATTCATTCAGAAAAGAAACAAATCTTGTTTTAATTAGTTAAATAATTTTAACCCAGGTAACCTAAGTTATTTCCTTCCACGACGTTTTAAAACTGCAATATTTTTTAAGCGCTTTTTTTCCGACGATGTTTAGAACTGCGATATTTTTTCTCTTTTCTTCTTTTTCTCCCATGATATAGCGTACGATGACGTACTCGCCTTGCGTTGTTTTCTCCACAACGCTTTCGTACGCGGTATTTTTACCACGGTGTTTTTGGCGTACACCGTAATGAATGTCATTAATCAAGCAAATCAATACCTGCGTCGGTTATTCCTGTGCAACTGCTAAAGGACGTGTATGGCGTTGATGCTAGGAGATTTGGAGATGTTGATCTCTGCATGCCTGCAAAATATAAAATATTATTTAGATAATAATTTTTAAAGGACAAAGAATAACCAGAAATAAAACCATGTCATGTGAAAACACAATACAGGTAAAAACCAATTTAATCGAAGTGATGGAAAAGGCAAAGAGTCTAAGAACCAGTTATATCAATTTGTTCACTGTACAGGTTTTTCATTGCTTCGTCCTTTAGAATTTTTAATATATATTTGCTAATGCAAATATTTAACCTCAGCAAATTATATAGAAAAATATACTAATGCAGAAATAGATATACATGTACAGAAATGTAAACAGATGCAAAAGAAATGGGTTGCATAATTTCTGTTCTGAGCATGACTGTCAAATACCTTCTATGAATGAGGGATTATGCGAACAAAGTTTCATTTTGCATTGAAAAAGGATTACTGTAGAAGAGAATGAAGTAGCAAAGATAGAAATATAAAAAATTCCAGAAAATTATAAAAGTATTTTGTATCGCACATTTCGCTAGAATTTTTGCAATTTCATTGGGAAATCTGATTCGCCTCTGATATTTACAGAGTCTAGACGGCTAAAATATTGCGTATTTACAGATTATTTAGAGATTTTTTTTTTTTTTTGCAAGTTTTAAACTATCCCTCCAATTCTCATCCAATTTCATCGAAGCGATATTACTTTAGTAATTTTAAAGTAATAACAGCAATAATATTTATGTTACTTTTTTCCCTATGACTTAAGGGAAAATAAAAAGATTATAAGAAAATTTTAAAAATTATTTTAGCAAAATATTTTCAAATATAATATTGTTGCAAAAATAATGTTTACATTTTTTTTTTGTTAAGGCAGAGACCCGATCATGGATTATCCGAAAAATATTTCTGAAGTGTATGAACTCCATCAGCTTATGAATGAATGAAGTTATACGACATGTAAAAAAGTCCGAAAATTATTTCCTACTCTTTAAAAAATTAATAATCGTAAATTCATGTGACATATTTCGTAATTAACGTACAATTCTACGATATACTCATTAAAATTGAGCTTAAACTGATCATCATAACCAACTTGCCATTGATTATAAGAAAATATTAATAAAATTGAAAATTAATTGTTTGTTGATATGCAGCTGTATCATGTAGTAAGAAGAAAAATCATAAAATAAGTATAAGGGAAAATATACTAAAATTATTTAATATATTTTTAATATAGAATATTTTATGCAATAATTGTTATATAAGAAAGTAAAATGCAGGATAGATCCAAAAATAAAAATTTTAACTGAACTAACAATATTGACTTTTCCTTCTTATCTAGTGGAAGCAGGCTTTAGTCAAGTCAATAATTTACAATGTCAAACAAGAAATAGGCTGAATACTTTTGAACCAGGTGATTTAAAAAATTAGTTAAGCAATTTTATGTTAAATATTAAAAACAATTTGGCCAATACAATCAAGCGCAGCCTTCAAATTCAAATCGAAATATTGTGCAATTAGAATCATAGAAAAAATATTAGGAAGTCGATGAAGGAAACTTTGATTCTTTTGAAAGGAATTGATGCAGGAAAAAGGTTGGCAATTCCTGATCTAGAAGCATCCGGTGTTTGAAAGGAGTTAAAACACTTCCAGATTTCAGTAACGTATGTAACAGAAATTTCTGATGGATAAAATTTCTTCAAGTAAAGATATATAAGCAACTTTATAATGAATGGAATGCCATTATCATATTATTTTTCTGCAAAACATATGTATCCTTCTTGGGCAGTATTCAATTTTTCATTTACCTCTAAATCACAGCAGGTTAAAGCCTATAATTATTTTACCAGCCATTACATATCAAAACTGCTATCTATGCATTCATGATCATAACAACTATATTGATGCTTGTTAGCAGTAACCGATTTGAGTGGCGCTCTGGTGTTAAGAGAAAATGACTGTTTTTCCCAAACAGTGCTTGATAAGCTGTTGAAAACCAACATAAATGTTTTCAAATTTTACTATCCGAATAAACTGTAAAAGCTCCAGCTGGGAGAAAGGCAGACAGAAATTCATAAAAAATGCCTCTGCAAGGACCGCATGATCTATCATGACATCGAGCTCACAAACGGGCGAGCGGTAAAGTTGATAAACGCTGGTACTTCTACCTGGGTTCGATTTCAAGTGAATGGGCTGGCTGCAAGGATGCTTACGTGGTTTTCTCCACGTGTAACGTGGATACGAGCCAGTTCCCATAGGAAGTCCTTCACGAAGGCATCCTTACCCTTAGGTAGATAGCCCTCGCGTGCTTTACCATATTGCCAAAACGAAACCCATGATAACATTGATTCATGAGCTGACAAAGAAACCCACTCACTACTTTCTTAATTAATCAACTGTGAATAGCTTCTAGTACTATAGCAAAATCTGGGAAAGAAGTATCTAACCTTCATAATTGACTATGTATTAAATTTCAATATGTCCAGGAAACCTAGGCGCGCTGAATGAGTCTAAGGATACTAAAACTTAAAAAATAATTCGCCCGTAAGAAGCTTAAAAATACTTTCCTCCATAGCTACTTTCTGTACTGCGTTCCTGTAGGAATTCCTTTAAATTCTTCTTATAATTTTCCTGTTTAATTCTCCTACTCCTGCGGAGAGCACTACAACTTTTACTGCAAGCGCGCTACCAGTAACAGAATTATCTTGATAAACTCAAACTGTAGGCGGTAGTATATTTTATTTTTTTCTTTTGAATTTTTTCATTTATCTAAGTTTACAGTATTAATTAAGCACACAGCGAAAGAAATTAAGTGCATTACGAGAAAAGAATTTTGAGCTATTTATACAACAACTGCTCACAAAATACGACTATTTAATGCAAAGCTGTTTCACCATAGCAAAATTAGTGTACAAAGTGAAATTATGGAAGCCATTTGCATTACATAAAAAATAAACTTCCCAAATTTGAAGCTATTTCAAAACCGATTACTTAAAGAATGAGGCTGTTTAATATGAAAGCTCTCACCTGTTTCACCATATCCTGCATTAGCTGCACAAGATGAATACGCTACTGCAGTCATATCCAAAGGTGGAGAAGGGCTTGATTTTAAATTATCTGTAAAGAAAATGAATGCATTTATAAGTAACTTAAACTTCTACGCAGCTTCGAACAATAACAAAGCATAGGAATGCAAGAGTAGCGTGTTAAAACAGCTTTAAATGAAGTTGCCAGAATTAACTGTATGCTCATATAAGACTATACTCCTTCATTATTAATCCTGTACATGTATTTTTGATTACAAGATTTTGAAATAACGAAAAACATGCATTTCACGATACTAGATTCGATACTTACGTATTTTGCCGAGACTATTTTAAAATTAAAAATGCCCACCAGTGGTCTAGCGGTAATGTCACTGAACACTGATCCGGGCTTCGAATCCCGGTGGACGGGCTGGTTACTTGGGCGTTTTCGTGGTTTTCCCCATGCTTAACGTGTATACTAGCCAGTTTCACCTAGAAAGTCTTCCACAAAGGCATTCATCCTCTTAGGCAGATAGCCTTAAAGTGCTTTGCCATAATCAAGGAAACCAAACCAGAATAAACATTTTTCGCCAAGCAGTGCGATTCAACGCCAATAATGGATACGTGTGATGTTACAACCCATTTCAAAGGACTTCTCTTTTTTTAATGTAAGCTGAATTAATTCTTAATAGCCAGCATGGAAATATTCGATTCGCCATTAACGAATTTTGGCCGGTGTAATGATTAGTAACACCGGATTTCTCACGCCCCGTACTAATAGCTAGCCAGTTTTTCAGAACTCTCATAGGCAAGAAGACTGTGAGAATATACAGAGACAAGGACCTCTTTTACTTATTCCTTTCAGTTCCCATCCTCAAGAATGAATTATTTACAAGGACTGGACTTTCCAAGTGTCAGGCCCTTCATGGGATTCCGTGAGACTTTGGTAAGAGCGGGATAAATTCCCACTCAATATCAGAATGAATGACAAAGCATCAAAGCGTCTATGATTCGTGCAGGTTTTAATGAATTTGTTTGTCGGATAATCTCAACGTTTGAGCTCATATTAGATTATTTATTAACATGCTGTATCTGTAATTTGTATGTGTTGATTAGGTAACTATAATTAAGAGCCATTTGTGCCTTCAAAACTCTGGCGGAATGTTAGCTCAAGTTTGATGGAATTTCCACCAAGTTTTAGGGTTAAGAACGTCAGTCAACTTTCCCTATCCACGGTAAGTACTGTTGATGTAAGTACTGTGGATTCAGTGATCTGGGTGGAAAGATTCTGCAAATACAAAATGTAATTTTAAATGAAGCAAAAATTCCAGATAGTATAATATACTTCATGCTTTAGTAAGTAAACAAGAAAACGTTCCATACATTATGTGAAAAATTCGTAGAGACATAATTAATGAATGTTTTCAAGGCCCCGGCTTGAAATTTAATAACGTCAGCAGTTTAAGCTAAAGCGATATAATTAAACGAAAAACCGAGCAGTAATAACGGCTCCCAAATGGGTTTTTTTCAGAAGTATGGATTAGCTTTCATAATAGGCATAGAAAAATTATTAAATTTACTAAGCTCATTCTCAAGCACTTCCTTAAATTTTGCTTGTGTAAGTATAGAACTTTTTTATCTTTACCTCAGTAAAGCATAATGAATATTTTAGTAAACGGAATTCCTTATTTTATTGGGAATATTAAAAGAAGTTGGAATTTATTTTTACAACATCCAACCTCCCATGGTGTTGGAAGTGGTTTTCATAAAATTTTCTGCTTTATTCTATGAAACACTGTGATCGGAAATACACCACTAGGAATTTATAGAACGTTTACAAATATGTCGTATGTGCTTTAACCCTTTGCGGCACAGTTTGTCCAGTCTGGACACACCTAAAAACTTCCTTCTGTACGCACAGAAAAATTGAATGAAAAAGGATTTATAGGTTACTCTGAATCTCCTTTATTTACAGTAGATTATAACACAAACCAGTCCATATATTTTAGCCATGTTTAGTTTTTTAAGACCCTCATTTTTCAAAGAAATCTTCCAGATTTTTTTAGGGTATAAAAGGAATTGTTTGAAAAGAAATTTATATGTTATTTTTTGGCTGTATGCTAATCTACTTATTCTTTATTAGTTTTAAATTTTTACCTTGAAATCTTGCCTAAAATCAAACGGCGAACCCTAGGTGTGCCCAAACTGGACTCATCGATAATCTAGGACAAATGAGAGTTTGTATTCTTTGTTTCTCCGCATCTCATCGGTCAGTTCATTGACAACAATGCTCGTTTCAGCACTCTTTTCGAAGCTCTATTCAACGGTGTGCCACTTTGGGCACACGCACAGGATTAAAACGATAAGTGCTATCTTCACAAAATTTTACTTGTGTACTCCTCTAGGCCTAATTTTTTAAAAAAAAAAATCAAACCTCCGACTTTAAAAGGTAGCGTGACGGAAAGGTTAAAATTGAAAGTAGATGGATGTTATCAGTGATGATGTCGTGTTCCTGAACATTTTAATTCTTTCAACCGTCAGGAGCCTAGATTAGTAAATAAGTTCTCTTTCCGTTCAGTATTCTCTCGAAGAAATTCTAGAAATGCTAAAAGCATTAACAAATAGCCATGAAATTTAATGGAGACAGCGTAAAGACTGTATCTTTGACAAGTGATTTCAACATATAGGGTCGGTGATTAGCTACGTGTAGGTCAGGTTACTTGATTAAGGCGAAGCACACAAGAGCAATATGACTTCATCAGAGGATATTTTAAGTGGCTCATATCCACATTATATAAGGAAAACACCTCAAAAATGACCATGCCAGCCAGCTCGTTTGCAGAGATTTAAGGCCAGGTCGAGCTACTAACGTTCGGCGCATTTACCGCTCGACTTCTGGTGAGAGCTGCCGTAAGATGGTAATTTCATGGAAGACTCCTAGTAAGAATAGACTGCATTCACGAAACGCAAAGGAAACGCGATTCTTTTAATAATTTAGTATTTGATACAGGAAGGCACTTGCGGTTAACAGCAGTATGCACTACGGAATGGAAAAAATACATGTTACTATTTTAGAAACAATTATTAATAAGATGTGTCTACAAATATATACGTATAGTATTACTTTATAACTTATGCAAATAATAACAAATTTAAAGTGTCTAGTAATCAGATATATTACATATAAAGAAGGCTGGTGAGTTATCCTTGTTGTGGTGTGAGGCAACAACAAACAATTAAGGCATTGTATTTGGGTTGGCCAATCTCATTATAAACAAATTATTCTATTATCTTTCTAATCTGAGGTCTGATTTAAACCACTAATTATGTGAGAATCAAAGAACACAACTGTTAAGCGAATATTTATAATGTCTCAAATTAAAGTTATATATATATATGTTTGAATTTATTATTTTTGGGTCTCATGACTCAGTGCCACTTCGGAAGATAAAAACTGGTTTGTTTATTTGATTATAGAAAAGCACTCCAGGGCTATTTGCCTAAGGCGAGGGATGCTTTCTTGGAGGACTCTCTCACGGAAATTGAATCGCACGCATGTTACACATGAGGAAAACCACGAAAACGCCGATGCAGCCAGGCCCTTCCATCGGAATTCGAACCCTAGATCAAACTATCGGTGTTCAGCGACTTTGCCGATCGGTCGCTTGTAAGCCTTAACAAAAATTGTATTAACAGTTGAGTTGAATGAACCATAACGGCAAGTAAATCAGATGCTGTTAAAAAGGCATAACATGCTGATAGTTTTGTTTGAAATGCGTTTTATTTTGCCAATAATTATTAAAAATTGTATACTTGAGTGAATGTCTTTGCTATAAACTTTGGTTTCTCTATTATACTTGGATATTCGTCCACGGGCACCGTTAATAAGTTGGTTGGCGCTTTTTATTTTGGAAGAAATTCAAACCAGTTGCGTGGGAAATGCTTTTGGTTCTTTTCCTGGCAGATCTAATAAGCGCATGATGCAAAACGCATTAAAAATTAACACGAGTATTAACGAGTCGAACAACGGTTTTCCAGAAATTAATTTCGCGGATAAAAACTATACTAATATGTGCGTATGTGATAGTTTAGAAATTGATAAAGCAGAGTTGATGCACAGAGATAAATGAACATATTATTTTATTTCTTGAGAATAATATTCTTAACTTGAATTAAAAAGGGCAGTGGGCGAAATGTGCGGACCTACTTTTGATCATATATGTTTCTTTTCTACATCGATAAGATGATACAATTGATGAAAGGTAAACAGTTACATGCTCGCAGGTTAGCAAACAAGAGCAGGAATGCGACGTATCTAAGAACAAAGCTCTTTTCAGACTGAATCGGTTTCAGTTAAGATGAATCCCTACTAGTTAATAATTAATTTTAGTTCTCAAATTTGAAAATGCTATTAGCTGAAGCGTAATGTAAGTGTCTGCGTCATTAGCTTCATGTAAGAATCATACGATAGGATTAATTTTTAAATGACGCAGTTCAGAGTGATTTATTGAAAGCAGTTACTATTTTTACGACGGAAACGAAAACGGGAAATACCCAAATTAAAATGTACAGCTAGAGACCTATTGCAAATTAGAATTTTGATTATTTCTTTAAAATTTTACACACATAGATATATGTAATGTTTTAAGTACGTATGGAACTTTAACATCTTGCAGTCGTCATGGCCGAGGATGGATATTTTTGATGCGCAGTTAACACCGGTACGCTTAGCAGCTTTCGATAATCCGAGTAGAAAGATGGAAAGGTGACGCTGACACAAATGAATATGGAGAAGTCCCAATCTTTATTTTAATGCATATAAAACCATATTAGTAGACATTTATCCAATCATGACGAAATACGATAATTTCTATGTACATTTGTTTTTTAAAAGCAATGACAAAGGAGTTTTAGCAAGGCAAAGCAGCGCGGTGTTGACAGAGCAGAAGTTAGGGAAAAGAAGATGACGTAGTTTGCTTGTGAGCGGGTATTTATATCGAGCATATGCAGAAATTACTCTAAGCTACGATTGGTTAATTTTAGGTTGTTATGTAACATAGAAAGATCTCGAATTTAGGAGAACAGATAAAT